TTCTCTTCTTTTTGTTAATAGCTTTACTGCAGTTTCTTAGTATACTTTTGGAGTTTATTGGCTTTTTCTTTTAGCTCTGAAAATGGATCAAATGATCGACAGGGAGAGTTGACTTGGTATTTTGAACTTATTGATTATATTTGTTTAATTATTTGTGATATTGTTTTACTTTTCCTTTATATTTAGCATCTTGTTTCCACTTTAAGCACTTTTTTAGTATCGCAGTGCCAACACATCTAATACAGAGAGGTTGTTCATCTTCTGATAGCTTCAAAACTTCAAAACTACTACAATTGTAGTATATGATAGAAAATATGGTAGCTGAATAATATAGTTTTTCAATAGATAATACACAAGTCCATGAGTTATTGACAAAGACTCTTTCAAAAAGCTTCTAAATTGAATCTTCTGACTTGACTCCTTCCTCATTATTGTTATCATCAAATTCATCAAACTCATAAGATTCCTGTTCATCACCTTCATCAGATTCATTTGACTGATAAGATTTCTGTTCATTATCATTATCATCATCATTTTTTTGTTTATCAAATTCTTTAACATTAATCTTATTAAATTCACTTCTGCTTATATTATTAGAACTAGAAGCTTCAGAACTGGCATTAGTATAATCTAGATTAAAGGCCTGTAATGTAGAAGTATTATTAAATCACATGTATTATAAAAGGATATCCTATATATGTATAAAATTATATTCAAAAATACTTGAAGTCTTTCTCGATCTTTGCTATTAAGTTTTTTCATACTAAATAAAAGGTATAGTTTTTCATACTCAACACAAGTTACAATAATGCTAACATTTTTTGCACAAGCAGCTGATAGACAAAACAGCATAGTATGTTTTATTTTTATTGTGCTTTTTGCTTTTCCAATTTTTGTTGTTTTTAGCTTAGAATCTTTAAATGAGGGTCTGTACTATTCTGTTGTCGATATACCATACAATTCTTTAAATGATTTGTAGTATAAATTATCACTGGAAGTTGAATTAGGAAGCTGCTCAAATAGCTCAAACTCTTCTGGAGTACTACGATATAGATGATAGATCAAACAATCTATTTTGCTATATTTTTTGATCATAAAGAAGTAGTATTGTGCAAACAGCAGTGATCCATAAACTCTTTTAATTGTGGCTTTATAAAAAAATAAGTTTTATTAATATGTTTTGTTAGGTTTACTAATTTATCTACTCTTATTAATTGGAGTACTACCAAGTTGGTTAATAATATATTATTTTGGTCTCCAATTAATGAGGATAGATAAATTAGTAAAACCATTTTAGTTTGCTTCTAATGCACATTCTATTTTACTTACTCTTTGTTTTACGTGTTTTGTAGTATAATCATTATGTGTTATGCTATTATCTATAAATTGAATAGTTTCCCAAAGTCTTTCTATTTCTTTATTAGTTGCTATATCATATGTTTTGAATAGTATCCCTTTTAAGGATTTATGTTCAAAAGTATCACAAACTAGATGAATTAGTTATTGCAAACTTGTAATTAAGCCAGTTTTCAAGTTAGGATTTTTTTCAACAATACTTTATATATTATTCATTATATTAGCTTTATTCATAGTGTTTCTAGTTGGTCTTCCATTTTGCTTCGTATCAAATCTATACACTGTAGCCCTAAATTTAAAATTGATATTATATATTCAATGGGATTCTTTTAAGAATGTTGTAGAGGTGTTTTTACTGCAATGAAATAGTCAAGATCTAGAGATAAAAATAGACAAATATAAGAAAGCTGAACTTGTGTAAATGTGCAATAGTGATCTGAGCTACTATCCATGTATAAACATAACACAGATTTGTTCTCAATTATTTCATTATGGAAGATATTATACAATTCAGTTACATGGCAAAGGAGTGATAATAGTTGAAAAATTAGGTCTTTTAGACTGATATATACTTTTCCTATATAGAAGTCACCATTGATTGAGTTAGATATATCACAAATCATAGTTATACTAGATACTATTCTTGTTTTAGTATAGTCATAGTCACCAACAGTAAATGTACTATTTTTACTGACAATAACTTATTTTCCTCTTTCTACTGCAGCAACAAGGAAACTAGGTTCTCTAACCTTGTAGCAATACTTGTTATCAAGAAAGACAAGGTTTGTAATATCATAGAATTTAATAGCAAATTCTTTTTCATAGCAGAAGAGTACTAAAGCATAATGAGAATCAGAGTGATGAGCTCGTAATTGATATGTTTGGACCATATATTTTATAGGTAGACAGCTAGTATATTGTAAACTATTAATACAGAATAGATTCTTTGACCAAAATTATAATTGAAGCTACTATGAGCTAGGAATTGCAGTTTCAGATGCATATTCATTTTTGATTTGTACTAACAAATCATTTGCTGAAATTGCTATTGCAAAGTGAATAACAGTATCATGGCATTGTTCATCTACAGCTATTATAGAATCTGCAGCTTTGCTCATAAGGTATTGAGTTGTAGTTTTCCAAAATATATTATATTTAGAGGGTTTTCTGGTATTATCTTCGTGCAGATCAATTGTAATTTCAGGATCATTGAGATCTAGAGCAAGTTTAATATATAC